AGTTTCATCTAAGTCACAAATGCAGGCAGTTGGACCTTATGTAACATCTCTAATCTGGTAAATAAGTAGGTTTGATGCCTCAGAGAAGGGAAGAAAGAAACCGAATGTTCATGAAAATAACCAGAGAATAATTTGTGCTCAGCTTGCTTTGGGTGCCAGTGAAATAGGGCTTTATGACCTTGACCTTGGAGGAAATTCTCAGTATAAAGAAGTTTAAAGTTTGGAATCAGCATGCAGGAAATCTGCCACTTGGCTATAGTAATTGCAGACTTCGTATTATTTGTTCTTTAAGGATGGGGAGTACCTTCAGAGGGAGACCCACTATGTCCAAAGCACAATGAATGCCATTTTCCTATTGAAGTGAATACTGCCAGGTTGGTTGTTGTGGTCTTCATCTGTAGCTTTCTCTCTCCTATGCTTGAGTGGATAGTCTTTTTTGTTGCCTTGTGTTTATTAGAATATTAGAAATGGAAACTTGGAATAATTATCTAACTCTTCTTTTTTCTTTCCTTTCCCCCCCTTTTTCTTTATTTTTTTTGGAGACAGGGTCTTAGTATGTAGTCCAGACTGGCCTTGAACCTTCAATCCTCCTGCTTCTGCCTCCCAGTAGGGATTACAGGTGTACACCACCATGTCTGACTCAATTTTCTTATCATACAGATAAGAAGAACCAGGGTTTTAATGCCCATAGTTCAAGAACAACTTCCTCCTCCTCCTTTTCATCCTCCTTCTTCTTCTCTTCCTCTCCCTCCTCCTTTTTGTTCTGGGGATCAAACCCCAGGCACTGTACATGCTAAGCCTGTACCTGCCACTGAGCTATACTGCTAAAGCCTCCATAGACTCTTTACTGAAGGATTGAGAAATAATGGAGGCCAAGGGGAGAAACATAATGAAAATAATTCCAAAATAATAATCTCAATTCAGAGTTTAAAATGGCCCTCTGAGATTAAAACAGCTCTAATGATGCCATCATTCCACAATAAAGAGAACAACAAACTTCATTCTTGCTTCCTAGAAGTTAGTTATATTTAACATTTCTAGGTCCTCATGATGAAAGACTCTGTGGATGGAGTAAAAGCTCTATATGTTTTATTTTTTTCTTTTGACACTTGCCTTTTTGTAAGGGAGGAATTGGTCCTGAGTGAGCTCTTGCTGTATTTGTCATTCCGGAACTGATGACACCAAATGAAAAACAAATGAAAATTCTGGATTCCAGCCAGTCTTCCCTTGTTTGTTCTTTAAAATGAGGTTGGAATTAATGTTTTCCTTAATTTCTTTGAAATTTTAAGCACTTATTGCCACTGGTTTTTTTTTTTTTTTTTTTTTAATAGGCTAGTCTCTCCTGACCTACCTTTTAAAACATGTCTTCCTGTAAGGTGGCAGTGGTAAATACTCCTGCTCTCCTACTGGCACTTTGCAATATTTTCAGCCTGGTTTTGATTTCTACACCAAGCCATTTCCACTGGCCTGCCAGGTCTTTCTGGCACTGTCAAGAACTTGAAAATTAATGTTTCTATTCACTGAAAGTAGGAAAGTTTTTCCCTTTTCAATTTTAGAAAAGCTTTTATATTATTTCTGGGTGCTCTTATTCTCTGCTTTATTAATGTCCCCGTCAGACCTGTGTGGTTTAAAAATATGCCATAATGGTTACAATTTAATTGAATTTTGAATGTCCATCAGTCATATGTGGCTATAGCCACTTGCAACATTACTTTTTTTGGGTCTTAGTCAGCCTCGGATTATAAGAGTGCACAACCATACCCAGTAGGATTATAACTTTTAGAAAAAAAATTATTAATTTTTATGTGTATGAGTATTTTGGTTGCATGTGTGTAAATGCACCGTGTGTACAGTACCGAGGAGGCCAGAAGAGGGAGTCCAATCCCCTGGAACTGGAGTTACAAATGGTTGTCGGCTGCCATGTGGGTCTTCTAGATGAGCAACAAATTTTCCTCACTGCTGAGTCATCTTTCCAGCTCCCAGGAATATAACTTTTGAGGGTTGTTTCCTTAGGGAACAAAACTAAAGTTCATATCAAATGCTATAGAAACTAGTGAAATTAGTTCCTTACCTGTCTAGTAGAATAAGTCTGAACAGGCCTAGATGTTCTATTTCAGTGCAAAGATCAGGAAATGCTTTAGAATCTATGGAGGAGTTTCCTAATTCACCTGTTTTCTAAGGGCATTGATATATAATTACTTGTAGAAGATATCCTTAGGGAAAATATCCTAGGCCAGGCATGATGATACATGTCTGTAGTCCCAGCACTTGGGAGACCAAGACAGGAGAACTCAAGTTCAAGGCTAGCCTGCGTTATGTTAATGAGTTCAAGGCCAGCTATGGCTATATAGCAAGACTTTGTCTCAAAAATAACAAAACAAAAGACAACCCCAAATCACTGTAACAACAACAAATGCATCATTATACCCTCTTTTCTCAAACGGCCCCAACACACACATACACAGAATATAACAATAATCATGTATTACCTGAAACTAAAATTTATAAAACCTAGACAGTCCATGAGGATATATAATCAGATGGTTCTTTTTTTTTTTTTTTTTTTCCATTTTCCTACTGTTATTTGAGGATCTGAAGTACCTTTGCAGATTCAAACTTTTTGACTTAAAAGGAGAGGAAATTTTTAGAGAAAATGAAGAAGTACGTAAGAGTTCAGATCCTACATCCAGACTGCCTGGACGCCATCAGATCCTACTCCAGACTGTCAGGGCACCGTCATTTTGTAGTGTAGACTCAGATACTGTAACCTCTTAGTTTCTTCATTTGTCAACTAGAGAAATGGAAATAGTGCTTTATCTCATAAACTCTAAAATGCCATTGATTACAAAGTGCAACATTATATGCCATGTAATTAGTGAAAGCATTGCCATTAAACTGCAATATACTCTCACTTTTAAGATGTTTAAAATTAGCCAAAAATGTACAACTTAGAATTGGTGACATATAGTAATACTTTCTTAAGTATTATTGTAAGGATTAAGTGACAACATTTACAAAGAACTTAGCACAGCACATAGTACACACTGTCATTTATCATCATCATCGTCATTATTAATATTCCTGTTGCCTGTTACCATTCTTTGCCCCACCCCTCGTTTGGGAATCAAATCCAGGCCATTGCGTATGCATATGCTCTTCTTCAGAGCTCCTCTCAACCTTTATCATTCTTTATTTGAACCCATTTTCTCCTAATTTTATTTTATTTATTAATTTATTAAATTAATTAAAAATTTAAATAAATTTATTTTGAGACAGGGTCTCCCTGTAGCCCCAGCTGGCCTGGAAACTTGCTATGTGTGCCAGGCTGTCCTTGATCTCACAGAGATCCACCTGCCTCTGCCTCCTGCATGCTGGGTTTAAAGGCATGCACCACCAAACCCAGCTTCCTAATTTTATTTTATTTTATATTATTTTTTTTAATATTCAGAAGTTGAGGTTTTATTATTTTTGTTCGTTTGTTTGTGGAGGAGCATATATGTAGAGGTCAGAGAATAATTTGTGGAAGTTGGTTTTCTCCTTCAACTATGTAGATTTTGGGGCTCGAACTCAGGTTCTCAGGCTCAACAGAAAGTGCCTTTACTCCTTGAGCCATTTCACCAGCCCAAGTCTCTTAATTTTAATCACAGTTTGTGAAAGGCCCAGTTATGTATACCTCCATGCTAAATACATTCACAAAGATGAGCATGTAGGTAATGCTTACTCACTGAAGATAGTATCATAATACTTCATTCTGGAACCAGATTGCTGAAAGTCAGGTCTTTGTTCTAAATTTTACCAACTGATTTTAGGCAAATCTCTCTGCCTCAATTTCCTCCTCTGTAAATCAGATCTTAATTTCATTTTACATATGTTCATATATAGAAAGTTCCTAGTTTATGGATTACCTGTCTTACTTGAAGTATTAATGAAATGAGTATTTCTAAGAACACAAAATTCCAAGATTCAAAATAATGATAATCTTTTTAAAAAAATTACTATTTTTTATTTTATGAGTATGAGTGTATTGCCTGCATGTATTTAAGTGTACCCATGTCATGCAGTGCTCATGGAGGTCAGAAGAGGGTATCAGATCCCCTGGAACTGGAGTTAGAGACAGTTGTTAGCTGCTCAGCGAGTGCTGGGAACTGAACCTGAGTCCTCTGCAAGAGCAGTCAGTGCTCTTAACTGCGGAGCCATCTCTTCAGCTCCTCAAATAATGATATTCTAATAATAATAGTTATTATTATAACTAACATTTACATATGCTTGTCATAGGCCAAGCACTGGCCCATGAACTTTATTGATTTACTTAAATTTTGTAAAAACCCCCGGTGTGATAGTCGGTTGTTGTCGTCTTGTATAGATCAGGAACCTGAGGCCCAGAGGGGTGAAGTTGTATAGCAGCAGTTACTAAATGATGGAACTAAATTCAAACCCTGTCAGGCTGGCTCTTGAGTCTGTTACAAATACTGTCTTTTCAGAAAGCATTTTGTAGTTATTAGGTGGGTCATTTAATTGATTTTTAAAAACAATTAAGAAGGTGCTAAGTAGAAAAAATAACCTATGATCTTTTATTTATGATTCTTATATTTAGGAAGCTCTCAAAACTGAAAATTTTCTTCTGAGTTTAATACAAACTCACTTATTATTAGGACCTCACTTGAACCATTATAAGATTATTTAATGTCTTTAGCCAACTTAATATGCCTACTCAGTGTTTTATTGCAGAAATATTAATGTACTTGATTATGGGTTGTGAACTCCACTGAAATTGTGTAATGTGGGTTATGTTCTCTATTACCTTTCTGTAATTCAAAAACTCCTGAGTTCTGAACACTTCAGGCCCCAGGAATTTTGGGGGACTGACTTTATACCAAAATTGTTTTCAGTTTCATTAAACAAATGTGCATTTAGCTTATATTGCATCAGGATTTAGTCAATATAATTATTTTCCCCAAGTAATGTTTATTCTTTTATCCAATAATTTTGTTTTTTGCTAGAGCCCCTGAAATTATTCTCGGACTACCATTTTGTGAAGCTATTGATATGTGGTCACTGGGCTGTGTAATAGCTGAGTTGTTTCTGGGATGGCCTCTTTATCCTGGTGCTTCAGAATATGATCAGGTAAGAGTGCTTATTTGGATGGAAATGAAAAGCAACACAGACTTAACTGCACAAACCTGCACATATGCAGGCTTTTTTCTTTCTTTCTTTTTTTTTTTTTTTAAATGACAGTTTGAAAAAATAGACCTCGTAGTATAGGAATATTAAAAAAAACATGTCATGAATACATAAAATATAGTCTATTTTTATCATTATCTACCACAAAGTATATACAAATCTATTCTAAAAAAATGAAAACTTACCAAAAGTTACACAAGACCATGTATGATGCCACTTATAGTTGAGAGACATGTAAACAAACATAATAGTTCATTAGTAAATCCTAACCACATAAATTTAACTGCAGTGTATACTGTATTGTAGTAATTTTGCCACCACCTCTTGTTGCTGATGTGGTGAGGTCAAGGGTGGTGAGTACCTGCTTCAAATGCTATGTGTGCTAATCATTGTGCTTGAGTTCCTGGTCTCTTTGCTAAATTTCATGTCCCAGAAAAACGTGATCTCTTGTGGTTCTTTGTGTGTGTGTGTGTGTGTGTGTGTGTGTGTGTGTGTGTGTATAATATATAAAATATATATAATATAAAATATGTGTTAATCAACTGTTTATGGTATTGGTAAGGTTTCTGGTAAACACTATATTAGTAATGAAATTTTCCACAAAGGCTGAACCATTTCATTTCACTAGCAGTTCATGTGGGATCTAACTTTTTTTACAAACTAGACAAAATTATCCATTTCTAAAAGTAGCCATCCATGTAGGTATAAAGTATTATTTCATTATGATTTTTGTTTGTATTTCCCTAATGGTTAGTGACATTGGACATCTATGTGCTTCTTGACCATTTGGATATTCTCATTGGAGGAATGTCTGTTTGTTACAATTCATTGCCCATTTTTGAATGTGGTTGTTTTTGGTTGCTGAATTATAGTTCTTTATAGTCTAAATATTAATCTTTTATCAAACATAATTTTCACATGCTGTCTTCCATTTTGTGTTGAGGATACTTCTTGATGCACAAATAATTCTTACTTTG